CAAGCACACACAAACACACACACACACATACACACATACACACACACACATACACACACACACACACACACACACACACACTGTTACTCACATGCCACAATGTTGACCGCTGAGGAGTCGTCGCTTACAGACTCGGTCCCTATCATGGCGGCACAGCTGTAAGGCACATTGTTTCCGTGGGCTGTGGAGAAACACACAGACTTTTATGTGGCATCGTGGTGAAATCAGCCGCTCGTCAAAATAATTAAATCGACTAACCTGGCAATTTGTAAAACCCGTTTGGCAATTTCTATCGCAGTTGTTTGTTTTTGTTTGGGGTTTTTTGTTTTTTTGTTTTTTTGACTCAACACCCTTTTTTGTCCATCTGAGAACACATTTCTGTTTGGATTATACTGAAAAACGTTGACCAAAGACACAAGTCTATAATTTTGTCTGAAACTTCAAAAAGTATGCACCAACAAACATACTATAAAATTTGCAAACTTGTGTTTCTGATTAATTGTAGATTATGATGGTTTGACATGTGACGAAACATCGTCCTTGCTTTGCTGCTGATAAGACACAATACAATGTGTGTGCTCTTCGCCCTTATACAGTTAGGGACGTATCAGATGCATAGAATGTCCAGTAAGCGGACCAAAGACAATGTTGCTGCACCTTTTGAACTACTATACACACATCAAAAACACAAATTTGTGTATTTCAAAATAAAAGTGTTGTGGCCTGTATTTTTAAGCTTCTGTTACGAAAATAGAATTTCAAAATAGATCTAATTTAAATACTGAAGTTATAGGATTTTTGTTTTTTTTAGAATGTCAACAAAACAAAACAATACGTCTTTAATTGTTGACGATATTTATCAGACCGATCTGAGTATTCGCTGTTTCGATCTTTTTTTTTCATCTAGATGCCGATATTGTCTTGACCTAATTATTGTGTTCATTAGAATCTTATATCGCCTGTTCCAAAGTTCAAAACACAACAGGTCAGTCCACCTCTAGACCTCTGGTGAAGTGGGAAGTCTGCTCACCGTTACACGCACAAGAGGTGTGTTCGATTCTTTAGTGGGTATTTTTTTAAAGAGTATAC